GGCGCCTTTCTGCATCCAGGGGGAACCGCGCCGACTCCCTGGTGAAGCACGGGTTCCTCACTTCTCCAGTGTCCACTCCACGTTTCTGTCCGGGCGCCTGCCGAGCCGGGCGGCGGAGTAGGCGCGGACTTCTCTCCTCGCACAGCTCACGTTGGCCGGTTTGCACGACGTCTGGTCGACGTCCGTGGCATGCCGTGCGGTGGCGCGTCAGTCCGCCATTGCCGCAGCGCCAAAAGCCGCATGCTGGACGGCAAAATCCGAGCGGTGGTGATCCCATCGTGGCGCCGCCGCCGGGCAAGGTGCACTTTCTCGGCGGCCCGACACTCTGCCGTCGCGGAATCGGCAACAATGCGACGTCGATGAATGGATGTGTGTGCTACTTTGGGCGCACGGTGCGCTGTCCCCCGCCGGCATTCACCTCCTGCGCGGAGGAGGGAGTCTTTCTCGGAGGCAAAGTTGCTGTGCGGGCTTGGCCTTCTTCCCGCTGTGTTTCAAACTTGGCGGCGTGCGTGCATTGTGACTCTATTTTTGGCATCGTGACACTCTCGCCGTCGGAGAGATTGTGCCGGGCGTGGCTGGCCGGGCCCGGCATTGCCCGCCCGCCTGTCGCAGTAAGGGCATCCACGGAGTGCTGTGGTCCCTGGTGCCGGCTCCGGCTCTGTTCTGGAGCGTGCGTGTGCGCGTGAATGGGATGTTGTTCCAGCTTTCGCTCGGGCAACAAATCCACAGGGCGTGCGCCGGAACGGGTGGATGCAGTCAGATCGTCATATTCACGGGGACGCCTCCTTCGTGCTCTGGTGCTGCGCTGCATGTGGAAGTGCCGGAGAGCAACTCTGAGCCCGGCTCGTTGGTCGTACGGCGCCGAGCAGCGAATGGCCTCGGCCTGGGCTCTGCATTCCGTCGCGGGGGTGCGATCGGCGTGCCGTCCCTCGCTCTCGTCCTCGCTCAAGTGGCGGGCGGTGGTTCCGGTGGAATTTCCGGCGGCTCCGGCTCACCAGGAGAAATTGACTTTCCACAGCGCCTGGGAGCGCGTAATGCCACGGACGTTGGCCATGTGCGTCACGACGCTGGCGCGGCAACCGCGGCGCTTGCCGCACACCGGGCAGTCTGCCGGGCGTCGGATCGTGGCGGGGTGGGGTTCAGCGGGAGGAGGCGGCGTTTCCGTGCGAGGTTCATTGCGTGCCTGCTGTGCGGCATCCGAGTTGCACCAACAGCATGTGCTCGGGATGGCGGGCTACAGTGGCCGTAGCAGCCATCCTTATTTGTGCAGAACCCCGGTGCGGAGGCGGGCCAGTGCGGCCTCTACCGCACGAGTGAGGGTGGCGTCCGCGCGCGTGGGTCCCAGTCGCCGGCTCCACTGCAGCAGCAAGCTTCGGTCCTGAGCTGTCGGGCACAAATAATATATTCGGACAGTGCGACCATGCCGGTGATCCATCTGTCGGTGAACTGTGTGAGGTCGGATGCCTTCTCGGATTTCGCACCACAAGCTCCGTTCCTGGACACGCCGCAGTGACCAACGACAAGCTGCGTCCGTGTGCGCGCTACTCGGCGCGGCGGGCGGAGCAGGAGTGTCCAGTGTCGACGATGTATCGGGACAGATGCCGTGAGAGGACCCGTTTCTGGAGCGCAGCCAGGAGAGAGCGTGAGCCTGTGAAGGTTGACACAATACACGGCGCACTGCCTGTCCGCCGGATGCTGCTCAACGGCTTTCTTGTACCAAGGTGTGGGGCGATGCTTTCGGCTCTGCGGCGGCATGGTATCCGTTCTGCGCCGGCCCCCGGCAATGTTGATCGGCGTTCCATTCAGGTACAGCATCGCCGCTGCTCCCAACTTGACGCCGAGTTCCACGAAGCCGCCTGTCCATCCTTCGCGGCGTTTTCTTCTGGGTGTGGCGAAAGGCCTGTGTGTCAGATGTGGCGGGCGAGCCAGCGGTCACAAGTCTGGTGCTGGACCTCGTCGGGGCCATCTGCAGCGGCACCACCGCGGGAGGCGCGAAAACGGACTCGAGCTGCGGTCCGCGGGGGTGGTCGCTGTGAGGGGCGGGCGGCGAGCTTCTGTCCGAAGGGCAGGGCGCAGCGCCATGATGAAGTCGTAAGGTTTTCTGGCGGGGTGCTGCGGGTGGCGGACGATGGAGGCACTAAAACGCAAAGCATCACCACGCGCCTCGCATCGGGGAGGGGATGCAGCTTTGCCTCCAACACGGCATCCTCCTCTCTACCGCCTCTCGGATTCACGCAACTATTTTGCGCGCCTGCTACTTTGCGGGATCCGGCGTGCAGCGGGACGTCGGGGAGGCATCCCAACACTATGCGCTGACGCCGTGCGTCGCCTCCGCCCGCAGCAGCGCTATGTACACCGGCCTCAGTGTGTCTCTCCTAGTTCCCATGCAAAAGACAAAATCGTTGCCAGTTGGAGTGGGCGCCGCTCCAATTCCTCATGGCGATTCGCCACGTGTGCCCATTCCACGAGGATGCTGGAACCTGATGCCCAGAAGAGTCGGCATGTGTTCCATAGCGGCCGGGGCGTCCTCATAAGCGAGGCGCAGTGGGACCGTGTTGCCGCTGCCAAGGAGAGTGTAACTAGTCTTTCCGGCATTCGCCGCCACGAAGTATTCTCTGGTCCACTCCGCCACGGCACTCAGGCCTTCTTTTGAGGCCGAGTTGGTCGCATCCCTCTCGCTCTGCTGTGCGGCGAGAGTGCGGTCATCAGCAATGAACCCCCGGCAAAGTAGGGCACGTTCGAAGGGCACGAACAACGAGACTGCATGACGACGACGAACATGATGGGTGCCAACACTGTTCCCTGCGGTGCGCCTCGTGTGAGGGTCCTGGAGGAGGGTGTGAGTTTGTCGATGCAAACCACAGCGCTTGTGCTATTAAGGCACGCTTCTGACCAGCGTGCGATGCGATTGGAAATATACAGTCGCCGCACTTCCAAGATTACCGCGTCAGGGCCCACCGTGCCAAAGGCATCGGCGCGGTCCACAAAGTAAGCCGCCGTGCGGTGTTGTGGAGCATTGCGATGCATGGCAGCCCTGAGGTGCAGCAATTGGTCGGGGGTGGAATTGCCCGGCAAGAAGCCAGATGGCTGCAGAGCTAACTGGGACTCGATGACGTCCCGGATGCGTGCGGCGGGGGTGCGTTCCATGAGCTTGCTGAGGCAGCCGCTCAGCGTTACAGGTCGGTGGGAGTCGCGGTTGGATGCCGTTCTCTCCGGATTGGGCAGGAGTAGCACAGCCCGCGTCGCCAATTCCGCGGGACGGCCCCTGCACGTAGGCGGATATTGAACAGCCAGGGGAAGGCACGCCTCGCCACACGGCCTAGATGGCGCAGTGCCTCTCCATCTATTCCGTCGGGACCAGGCGCCGGTCCCAAGAGCAACAGCCGCAGTTTGTGGCCGGGCTCTGCCATATTTATTGGGTGAGGTCCATCGCATTCGTCGGGATCGGTGGCGGAGGGTGGGGCTTTGGGTGCCGCGTTGCTTTCGCCGCCTACAGCTTCATGAGGTGGCTGACCTTCAGGTGTCTGCTGAGCATTGGGCCATCGGATTTCCCGGCTGGCGTGCTCAAGGAATGAGGGGCGTAAACACGGGCGTACTACCTGCTGCCTGTTGCCGTCCGTGCCCTCGAGCTCGGAGCGGAGTGTGTGCCAGCGGCTTTCGGATGCTTCGCGCAGCGCCTCCCTGCGACGGAGGTCCAGCCGCTGACCGCCTTCTGCGTGGGGTGCGGCGGCAACGGCGCGGCCCAATTCCTTCAGCCATGGAGTCCAGAATGGGGACGGCTGGTGATTCCATGCCGGGACCGTTGCCCTGGTGGCTCTCTGCGTTCCTAGTACAACGCTCCTCTCCGTGCTGCACATTTTGGTTAATTCTCGTGGGATTCTGCAGAGCTGGCTGAACACTTCGCTGGGCTTATTCCTATCCGCCTTCTTCCATGCTGATAATTTCCGGTTAGGCCCCAGCACCACGGTGGGTGTGTCGTCGTCCCCGATCGGAACATCAAGGAGAATGATGCAGTGATCGCTGCCCAGTGAGAGCTGTTCGGCCAATGGGTGACGACACAATCCTTCGAAAGGGCGGTGTCGGATGCTGTGCTGCCCTGTCGCTCGGTGAACCTCGTGCACTCTCCGCTGTTGGCGGCCTGGAGTGCATTCTCAATGCACCGCCGCGCAATGGTATCGCCACGGGAGTCTGATGGGATGTTGCGTTCCCAAGCCTCGCTGTGTGCGTCGGTGTCTTTGCCCTATTAGTTGCGTCCCGCCCATGCAGAGCTGCATATCCAAGTCTTCCACCGTCATACTCTTGGCAGAAGGGGGGGGAAGACATGCTGATGACGCCATCATGTTACTTCCCGCCGCTGGTCTGTTGGTCGCTTGCGCCGGCTCGATGCGGGCAACAGGGGCCGGTCCTGCCACCGCCTGTGGCCCCTCACGGACGAGAATGGACACACCGCCGCCACGACAGTCGCAAGCAGTTCCATGGTGCTGGAACCCTGGCGGGCTGGAACCAGTGGCTTCAGGGTGGGGACATCTTCTTCACACCCATCGCCAAATAAAATGCATTCCCGCCTTGTGACGTCATGCTCGGCGGCGGCCGCTTCGCCGCGACTTCCGTGGACAGTAACGGGGTTTCTTTTCCGCATCCCCGCGAGGTGGCGACACGGTACGGGTGGCGCCGCTGACGGCGCGCGTTGCCGAGCCGTCGGGTTTATTGGAACAAACGTGCGCAACGTTTTGAGGTTGCCTTGCTTTTTTCTCCTTTGGTTCTTTTTGCGCATGTTATTTTCATTACCAGAGGCTTGCAAATATTTGATTATTTCTAGACTTTCTGTCATTTTCATTCTTCCAATTTGTTTTTGCGGATTGGGTTTGGGGAAGCGGACGGATTGGGGGTGACGCCGAGGACTCTTGTTTTGCGTTTGGGATTTTCTGTTATTATTTTTCTAACAGTTACTGTGTATTGCTGCTCTTTATTTTTTATTATTTCTTTTTTCCGACTTTTGGATGCTTCTGCCTTTAGTGAGTATTATTTTAAGCTTAATAATTATGTTTTCTCGTACATGGTTTTGGGCGCAAAGAAAGCTGCCTTTTTATCCAATAAATCCAAAGAATCCACTTGTTTTTTTTGAAATTTCCATTGGTGCTCAACCTGCAGGGCGGGTTGAAATGGAGCTATTTAAGGATGTTGTCCCAAAAACTGCGGAAAACTTTCGGGCGTTATGTACTGGTGAGAAGGGCGTTGGGCGTTCTGGAAAAGCGCTGTGTTATAAGGGGAGCAAGTTTCACCGCGTTATTCCTCAGTTTATGTGTCAGGGAGGGGATTTTACGAATGGAAATGGCACAGGGGGTGAGTCAATCTATGGAATGAAGTTTCCTGACGAGTCTTTTGCTGGCAGAGCTGGGAAACACTTTGGTCCTGGTACGCTTTCTATGGCAAATGCTGGGCCTAATACCAACGGTTCTCAGTTTTTTATTTGCACAGCAGCGACGGAGTGGTTGGATGGAAAACATGTGGTCTTTGGCCAGATTACCAAAGGGTACGAAGTAATTGAAAAAGTCGAAGCCAACGGTAGCCGCTCAGGGGCCACCCGTCAACCAATTCTTATAACGGACTGTGGTGAAGTCAAAAACAACTGAACATTTTGTTTTTATTACAATCAATTTTAATTTTTTACTATGGTGGTAAGGGATATTTTTGTTTGGGAATCCTGTTGAGTTTTTGAGTAAAACTTTGTATTTTCTCTTTTTTTCCCGCGAAAATTCAATTGGGATAAAACCGTTTTATTGAGCCTTTTCTTCAACTAATGGATTTTGCTTCACAAGTCTGATTTTTTAGCTATGAATTGTGATGCAACGCGCGGTGCAATTCTTGAGCATACCGTGGAAGAACTCGCCGAGGCCAAGCAGTACCTTATTGATCTTGACCGACGTCAGCATCAATACAGAGAGGCGAAACGTGTTCTCAGAAATTATAACGCGTCAGACGATGTGTGGCTATTGTGTAGTGGTAGAGTATTTGTGAAGTCTAATTTAGGGCATAAGGGCACAGTTACCTACCTCTCTTGGAAAATATCTACTGGGGAAAAAGAAATTAAGAATGGGCGTGAGGAGTTGAAGGCAAAAGTAGCTTTTCTGGCGGAACTTGAAGGTCCAGATCAAGCACTTTCCAAGCTGTTGAAAGGATTTGAGTTGAGATCGGCGATATAATACAAAGTGAAAATTGACCGACGAATTAATGTATGATTATTACGAATTTAATGTGAAATATTGTTTTAATTTTGTGTAAGACCTTTATATTTTACTTCCTAGGAAGCGTTATGAAGAGCACAATGGGGAGGTCCTCAGTAGTTTCCTTCACCTTCCCGTCAATGAAGACTCTCAGTTGTTGTTTAAGGTACCTCTGTATTCAGAGTAGCACTATAAAGATTATTTTTTCGAATCGAACAGGTTCTTCTGAAATGCGCCTGTCAGGGACTAATATTCCTGAATACAGTTTTTCGGAGATAGTCATCGAGGTTTTCGATAATGATGGGATGCCTGGAGCAGCAACTGATAATATCACTGGCGTTAAAAAGGATTTTTCGTGGGCGGTCGATGGTCCTTTGTTGCTTCGGACACTACGGCTTTTTGAAGGGTGTGATTCTCTAACGTTAGAATTAGGCCATGATCTTACTAGTGTTTTTATATATGAAAACGAATGCGAACGTTGGGCGAGAATTGGCGCTCTTCATGATCTTGGACCGATTTTGAACATAGAGCACGAGATAACACTTCTTCACCGTATCCATGACATTCAATCATTTTGCCACATTGTAAGGTTTATTGCAACCTCACAGGAAGCCAATTGTACCATTGCACTTCGCTTTGATAGCCTACAATCATATATAGAGCTTAAAACATCGAATACCACTGGCTCGGCTCTTGTTGATGGTGAGATGCTGCAACATCAAGTTGAGGGGCGCGCAGGGACAGCAGAACTTTTTGGGTTTGCCGAACTGGCTATGCGAGTAAGTAGCTCTGCGACACTTTTTGTTGGATTTGGCGTTGATAGTCTTGCCATGTTTAGGCTAGACTGGCAATCTGTTTCTTCTGAAAGGTCGTCAGCCTTTTTATATTTTTCTAGTGGTTAGTTTTATAGAAACAGGCTTATTAAAAACATAATATTTGAATATTTTAAATCACTGGAGTTTCTTTTTTTTTTCTCTTTTAATTGTGCCATGTTTTCTGTTTTTTTTATACTATTATTGTTATTAAAGTTAGAAGAAAATGTTCTCCTTAGAAAGGTCACTGGCACCCTCCCATAGTTTGTTAATCCACCATTTGAAAACACTCACACCGCAACAATTACGCGGAATTGTGGAATGTTACGGTATTCTTGACGATATGTTGTCATATCATCTCAAGGAAAATTTAGACTACGTGAGTGTTGTACAGCACCGTGACTTAGCAAGTAGAGAGTTGTGCTACTGTTCTTTGAGGGCTCTAATTTCTTCCCAGGAGAGTCCAATCAAGAAAGTTGCGTGGATTCACGAAGAGGCCGTTGCGCTTTTGAAACAAAAAAACTACATACAGTCAAATTGTTCCAATGCGCAGGATACTGAGATATCCCCCCCCAAAGGCTGTCTGGTGTTGTATTTATTGGGTATTCCAACTACAATTCGTCAGGAAATTTTGGCGTCCGTTGCCAGTCAAAAAGGTTTTCTTGATTGTTTTGTTGATGCGGTAAATGGTGGGCGATGCTTTCTGTGTTATCCCACAGTTGAGGCAGCGGAGCACATGCGGAGAACTATTGCACATCTTCATCCGGAGTATAAAAACGACGTTCACTACTGTGATTACAACGACTTGCTACTAGCGAAGGAAAAGGAAAAGCAAATCTAAAACCGGAGCGGCGTGATTCTACTAATATTGCATACCATTATTTCTTCAAGATTTGGGAAGACAGTTGGCATCTCGCCTTGCATATATATTATATAATGACTTCTTCAGCGAATGGATTATACTGAGCCTCGTCTTGATGAAGAAAAGTAATCCTGACCCTTGGATCCATTGAATTTATCAAACTACTTTTTTACGTTGTCGCCATGTTGTCTATGCATAGAAAGCACGGAGAAAACTTGAATGAAAAAAATTAGTCAGGAAAAGGCCAACGGGGCAAGGCTTGAAGCACCATTAACAGAAATAGCAACCACCACAAAGTCACCTGAAAGTCTAGATAATTAGGAGTAAATAAGCTGAGTTTTTTTTTGGTGGAACAGATAAGCTCAAAATTAGGAATTAAATTGCGCCATTTTTTAAAATTAAAACCTTTCCAAAATGTAGAGAAACGATTTTCAAATTTACAATCTTGCTCAGTCATTGATGCGAAGGGAATACACGGCAATTATGTCCAAGAGGATAAACCGTACAGGGGTTATGGATTGAGGTGCAAAGGAAAGGTTGACAAAGGGTTATGAAAATTGTGTTGCAGCGTCTTTTGGACGGTGACGGCTAGGCTGCCGCTGCTGTTAACTAAGATGGATGTTTCCCCATTTCTGAAAAGGTTTGGGCCCATGAGTCAAGAGGATCACTGCGCAGTGTTGTGCTCCCTGTTTTTCTAGAGCTGCTACGCGCAAGGCCCACCGCCTGTTGCCGCGGGAAAATGGGTCGTGCAGCCGGGTTGCATGTATCCATCGCCTACAGCTTTATTTGCTCTTTTACTTTTTTTCTTTCCCTTGCCAGCTATTTGTATAGTTATTTTTTGCACCGCGAGTCTTACTCAAGCAGACACATAGCCTGGTAAGTCACAAGGTGCAAGGAGGTTCTGATGCTTTTTTTTTTTGGTTTATCTTTCTTTTTGTGGTAGGGTGATTAAAAATTAAAGGTGACAAAGGTGAGTGTCATCTACAGAGAATTTGATCTGTATTTCACTGTTAGTACGAGCGATACGGTCGCAATCAAATATTTTAAACTTGTAACTGCGGTTGGACTGGTGTCTTTTCAGCTACTGGCAATTTTTCCTCTTGCTCTTTAAAAACACAAGCCGATCTTTATTGCTCCACCTGCTGTCCTCCGAGAAGCGCTGTCCTTTAGCATTAACTTTTATGTTTTTATGAGGAATTCAAATTTCTTTTTGTATTCACCCCGGCGCTGCGCCGTGGTGTCCCTGTGCGTTCTGCGCGTAGTCCATATGTATTTGAACTCCGTAACTTACGGGGATTCAAGGTTTTTTCTATTAGGTAAATGTATCTTTTTTTCTTGTGGGGTGAAAATGGCATTTTCCCTTATTTATGTAATTTGCCATATATTACTGAGTGCACGGTATTTCGGCGCCGCATTTGAAGAAGAGTAAAGGTGCGTGAAGGATTGCCGTTGCTGGAGAATAATAGTTCATAGTTACTGTTTTTGCCTTTGTTCCACCACTTTATTCTTCCCTTAACTAGACTCTCAATGTCTTTTGGGCTTGCGAGGAGTTGGCTGTTAATTTGGACGGCGCTACGCTATTCTTTCCTTGGAATTGCTTGTGTGTAGTTGGCAAAGGTAAAGGAAGCAATGGGAAGACACCGCGTGGCACTGGTGTCGGATTTTTTTTTCCCGGGGTTTGGCGGGGTGGAAGTGCACATCTACAATGTTGCCCAGTGCCTGATGCGAAGAGGACACAAGGTGGTTGTGATAACCAGGGCATACGGCGACAGATGCGGTGTACGCTATTTTACCAATGGTATGAAGGTGTATTACTTGCCTTTGTTGGCGGTGAAGCTCCCGCCCGGATCAGTGACTCTCCCGACGTGGTTTTTGAGCTTTCCGCTGTTGAGGTCAGTATTTATTCGCGAACGGATTACTGTCGTTCACGGTCATCAAACGACATCAAATTTGTGTCACGAGGCCCTTTTTCATGCTGGCACGTTGGGCTTGAAGACGTGTTTTACGGATCATTCACTTTTTGGCTTTGCTGATGCTGCCTCAATTCATATTAACAAAGTATTGGAATGGAGCCTACGCAACGTCGATCAGGTAATATGTGTGAGCAATACTTCGAAGGAGAACACCGTTCTTCGAGCGAGAATAGAACCGGAGCGGGTCAGCGTGATCCCTAATGCGACAGATACCTCGGTCTTTGCTCCTCCAGAGGATATGAAATACAAGTCATGGGCCTCAAAGGTCGACAAGGAGGGATTAACGATTGTGGTCATCGCTCGTCTTGTGTACCGTAAAGGCTCAGATCTTTTTGTTGATGTTATTCCTGAGATATGCAAAAGGCATCCCGAAATCAAGTGGATTATCGGCGGCGATGGCCCTCGTAAATCACAGATTCAGCAGATGATAGAGCGTCACAACTTGATGGACCGCGTGAAAATGCTGGGATCGCTTGCGCACTCTGAGGTGCGGAGCGTGCTAAACCAAGGACAGATTTTTTTGAATTGCAGCTTGACAGAGGCTTTCTGCATCGCGTTAATTGAGGCAGCGTCATGCGGAATGCTGGGTGTATCAACACGTGTGGGGGGTGTCCCTGAGGTACTGCCGCCAAACATGCTGCTGCTAGCGGAACCTGATCCAGCTTCAATCACGGCAGCGCTAGAAGAAGCTATTGTTCGCGTTCCCTATTTGTCTCCATGGGAAATTCACGAGAGTGTTAGACGGTTTTACAGTTGGGATTGGGTAGCAGAACGCACGGAGCGAGTATACGATAGGATTTTTAACACAACAACACCATCAATGTATGAACGTTTGATGAACTACGCGTCGGTGGGCTTGTTGTATGGAGTTATATGTTGGCTTCTTTGTGTTACCGATTGGATTCTGCGTAGATTTTTGGACTACTGGTTTCCTGAGGATATGATCGACGTAGCTCCTGACTTCCCACTTGAGTTGTATTCCAGAAATCGCGAGAAGCTTAATGCTCTTGAGAAGGGTGTTTGAAAGAGTTGGGGAAGGTGGCGGGGCCCTTTTTAATTTTCATTTGTTTGCTTTTTAAGGTGTGCCGGTCTGCGGATTAAATGAATACTGGGTGGATTTCCTCCATTTCTTTTTCGTTTTTTTCTGCACAGGGGATGAAGCGACTTCCCGTCCGAGAAATAGGCCTGCTATGCGAACGGCTGCAGTCAGTGCAAGGTAGTGACGCAAAGTTGCAAGGCGCCATTGCGGAGGGAATTCGCACGCGCGTGGTGGACAAGAACACATTGCCTTTTATTGTCCAGCGACTAGCGCTCAGTGGAAACTGGCAACTAGCGGTAAAAGTGATGGAAAGCGAGTGTCTTGACCGGCGACAGATTCGACGCGATCAGAACGCCTGGCCGATTCTTGAGCGTGTGGCGCCATGCGGAGAGAGTCGCGACGCGATTCGGCGTGCGCTTGTGCGGCTTTATGGTGTGGCATGCCGTCCCAAAACAAAATGAGCACAGTCATATATATGTATTTGTCAATCTTTCTATCTATCTATATCTATATCTATATCTATATTCCCTTTTCTTTTTACATGTGTGTCTGTTTTATTTTGCCCTCATGACGTTGACGAGGGGCTTCATCCTTTTTTTTTTTTGATTTGTAAAGCTGCCGTGGGATTTTGGCTTCTTTGTTGCACTTCCTTTTGCCCCACCACCTTCAAGCGCAACCCCTCGATGAGCCAGTGGGAGAGTCTATACCGACCGCATTTGCCACCGGAATACTTGCAGCGCGACCTGCTCTTCCAGCTTCTGGACTGCTGTCAAACAAAAGGCAGTGCTCACCCGACGGTCTCCAGAGTGCGACACGCGGAAAATCCGGTTGTCCGGCTTTACGGCGTTACAAAAGAGGGGCATAGTGTTCTGGTGCATTGCTACAACTACGAGCCGTATCTGTGGATCAAGGCCCCAAAAGGATGGCTCCCTGCGTATTCGCAGTTGCTCAAAGCTGAGCTAAACGCCCAGCTTGACAGCCTTACACATGCCTCAGACACTATAGTGCGCATTGAGGTGCACAAGCGACAGAGCATCATGTACTATCAGGGTGAAGGCTTGACAGAACACCTCAAGATTGTCGTACAGCTCCCGCAGCATATCCCAAGGCTGCGTACTTTGCTTTCTGATCGTGGGGTTGCATGCGCAGGGGCGTGGGATGGTGTTCGTGTCTTTCCCACCTATGAGAGCAATGTTATTTTTCCATTACGTTTTATCGTTGATAATGGCATTAGTGGTTGCAATTGGCTTACGATTCCTGTGGGCAGTTTTTGCACCGCCACGGAGCGTACATCAACCTGTCAAATTGAGCTGTGTTGCTCTCACGAAGCGGTGCAAAATCATGACGCAGTCGGTCAATATTTGTCGATCGCTCCGTTTCGTATTCTCTCCATTGATATTGAGTGCCAGGGCAAGAAGGGCCTCTTTCCAGATCCTGAAGAAGATCCTGTTATTCAAATCGCAAATCACTGTATTAACTATGGCAATGAGGCAGAGCCACTCACACGAACAATTTTTACACTTAAAAGCTGCGGGCCTATTGCTGGGGCACGGGTGTGCTCGTATGAAACAGAGGAAGAAATGCTACTGGAGTGGGTTCGATTTGTCAAGGCGATCGATCCAGATATTTTTACAGGGTATAATATCAGCAACTTTGATTTCCCGTATCTTCTTAATCGCGGCGCGGCGTTGAAGACCAACGACGCCTTTCATTACTGGGGCCGTCAAATCAATGAGCGAACAGTTCCGCGGGAGAAAAAGTTTCAGTCTAAACAAATGGGCAACCGTGAGTACACTGAGCTGACATTGGAGGGACGGGTTATTCTGGATGTTATGGTCGTTATTCAAAGGGACTACAAACTGCGTTCATATTCACTTAATGCGGTGTCACAGCACTTTTTGGGTGAACAAAAGGAAGATGTGCATCACTCCATTATTGCTGACCTACAGCAAGGAAGCGAAGAGACACGACGAAGACTGGCGGTGTACTGTTTGAAAGATGCTCTTCTACCCGTAAAACTTTTGGAACGTCTGATGGTAGTTGTAAATAATGTTGAGATGGCACGCGTGACGGGGGTTCCGATTGAGTGGCTCTTGGAACGTGGGCAGCAGATAAAGGTTTTTTCGATGATGCTGCGCAAGGCTAAGGCGAAGGATCTCCTTGTTCCGGCGGTTGAATATTCTGGAGGCGGCGGTGATCAGCGAGGCTACGAGGGTGCCACCGTTATTGAGCCTCTGAAGGGATTTTACAACTGTCCCATCGTCACCCTTGACTTTGCGTCGCTCTATCCATCTATTATTATTGCCCATAATTTATGCTACTCAACGTTGGTGCGGCCGTCCGATATTGTGCGATACCCAGCAGAAATGTTGAGCCGTACCCCCACTGGCGACACCTTTGTTAAGAAGGAGCTATTTCCTGGTATTCTTCCCGAAGTGTTGCAAGACCTCCTTGCAGCTCGAAAACGTGCCAAATCGTTGATGAAGGATGTCCCCATGGAATCTCTTGAATATAAAGTTTTGAACGGTCGTCAATTGGCCCTTAAGATAAGCGCAAACTCGGTTTATGGGTTTACTGGGGCTCAAGTAGGGAAACTACCGTGTTTGGAGGTCAGTTCTTCTGTTACCGCATATGGCCGGTTGATGATTGATCAAACCAAGTTTCTTGTGGAGTCCCTCTACCCGGGTGTGAAGGTGGTGTATGGTGATACGGACTCCGTAATGATTAAGTGTTTGACAGACGAGAAAGGAACCGAAAAAGAACGCTTGGAGTATGCAATGACGTTTGGCAAAGGGGCGGCGGAGGAAGTATCAAGCCACTTCTTGAATCCAATCAAGCTAGAGTTCGAAAAGGTATATTTTCCTTACTTGTTGATGAACAAAAAGCGATACGCAGGACTGCTATGGACAAACACAGAGCGGTACGATAAATTAGATGCGAAAGGTATAGAGACTGTGCGACGTGATAATTGTCCACTTGTGGCCAGTGTTATTTCAGGAGTATTGAATAGAATCCTGATTCAGCGATCGGTGGATAGCGCAGTGGAATTTGTGAAGGGGACCATCCGCGATCTCCTATTGAACCGTCTTGACATCTCCCATCTCGTCATCACGAAGACGTTTTCCAAGGCAGAGAACGAGTATGCGGGGGCACAGGCACACGTTGCCCTCGTTGAACGAATGCGCAAACGGGACCCCGCCTCTGCTCCAAACATCGGCGATCGTGTCGCATATGTCATTGTCCGAGCAGCAAAGGGTGCCAAGGCGTACGAGCGGAGCGAAGATCCCATTTATGTGCTGGAAAACAACATTCCAATCGACACCCAGTACTATTTGGAGCACCAACTTGCACCGCCCCTTCTACGCGTGTTCGAAGGCGTCCTAGATGACCCTAGCGTCCTTATTAAGGGAGACCACACACGCCATATCTTGGTCTCAGCACCCAGCAAAAATGCGGGGGGTTTGATGAAATTTGTAAAGATTCAGCTTCAATGCATCTCATGTCGGGCCATAATAAAAGAGGGAGCCCTTTGTGATAATTGCCGGCACAAAGAAGCCGACGTCTACGGGAAGATTGTGGCGAAAAGAAACCACTACGAGGCGATCTATTCTCAGGTTTGGACTCAATGCCAGCAGTGTCAGGGATCACTGAATCAGGAGGTTATATGCACAAGCAAAGATTGCCCTGTGTTCTACATGAGAAAGAAGGTACAAAAGGATGTCAAGGAGCAGCAAACGCTGTTGGATCGTTTCGGAGTCGTGGATGACTGGTAATGTTAATGAAGGGACTCTTTACTAATGGGAATAGAGGGACCCAACCATCAAATAAGAAAGAAGAGGAGGGGCTTTGGTGCAAGTTGAAAAGAAAAGAAACCAGCGCCTTCCTACCCACAGGGGAGGGGAGGATAAGGGGAAACAA